CCTGCCACTCATTGAATTTGCTCCTGAAACACACGGGGATCAGCGGACGAACCGCCCTGAAGGTCTTCCGGTCCGTGTTTGCTGATCTGGTGATGTGGGGGGCCTTGCCTTCCGCGATCATATGGACTGTGATGAATATTTCCTTTTGTTCTTTTTTGTAGTCCTGGTTCTGATCGAACAGTCGTTTTGTTTGTGCTGCCATTGTTGTGATCTCTTGGGTGAGTCAACGGTGTTCGTTCTTTGTCTGCTTCGTATTTGGGGGGTCCCGTTGACCTCTTGTCCCTTCCTCTCGACGATTTCCAGTTCTTCGAAACCATATCGTGGATGGAGTCTAATGACGTCTGGGGGTTGAACCCTGTCTCAACATCGCTTCTGCAGATTCTCTCTCTCTTTTCTTCTCGTGGTATTTGAATGCGCTGAACTCTGAAAGTTCGGATTTCTGGCGCGCAGGTCATAGTAGCTTTTGGAAGACGGGATCCCTGCCACTGTCTTGCCTATGGTTGGCATGCCTGTCTTCTCCTGATGTCTCATGCAGGCCAGTCTGACGTCGAATTCCTTTTCCCTCTCATACTTAGCTTTCTGAAGAGCGCTAGGGGATGGGGCTCGCTGTGTTTGGCGAGATCTCCATTCCCATGAGGGAGTCAGTTGAGGGATCCGTGTCTGGGGGGGGGTGCTGTGGGAGGTTGTTCATAACTGGTGATTTTCCCTGTTCCTTCGTCGATTGCTTTTCTTTTTTTCCCTGCTCTGTCCTCTTGGTTCTCTTTGAGGGGAGGGGAGGCATTCTGTTTGAGAGCGGAAATGATCTTTGGTTTGGGGTGGTGATCTTCCAGGATCTCTTTCGCTTCATGGAGCAGGGTGTTGTTGTCCAGATTTGTGTTCTGGCAAGTTTCTGCAGTCTGGATCCTGATCGTCTCCATGTCCCACAACAGATCCTCGTGCTTCTTCTCTTCTGTGATTGCGCGTGGGTCGATGACGGGGTCTGTGTGAATTTTCCCTAGTATTCCCGTTACCTTTTTGGCTCCCACTATGTGCCATCAGTTGTCTGAAGGAGGGAACATGTCGGGTTGCTTTGTTGTTGGGTTGGAGTTGTTGTATGCCCATATCCATTTAGGATCCTGGATGGTGTCGTCGAAGACCCACCCATCGTAGTCTTGGTCGTTGGTGAACCAGATGCCCTTTGCTTCTTCCACTTCCACCAGCATGCTCTATTTCCGCTTTTTTCCTTTCGAATGTTCAGGAGACCGTGGGCAGGATGGGTCAGTGCCCATGTGACCTCTTTCACTACACTTGAAACAAATGGGGGTGTCTTTTGTTGAAACTGTGACTATGGATGCTTCGTCACCAATGCAGAATTCCCATTCTTTCGAGAATTTGGGGTTTGTCTTAGAGTTCACTTCCAAAACTGCAGTGATGGAGTCGCAATGAGGGGCCAGAAATTCTGGCATTGGGAGGACCGATTTCAGCATTTGTTGTTCGGATAGTCGACCTCCAATCGGTCTTTGATCAGTGGATGACCTCTCATGGGGATGCTATCAAACTAGACCCAAAATTGGTCCCTCATGAGTCACTATTTTTGTGGTGTTGCCGACGAAATTGTGGCTTTCTAAGCCGTTTCGAGTTTCCACCGGGACAGGGTGCAAACTGAGCTGCTGCAGTTCAGCGTGGTGTGCTTGTTTATCAGGTTAGATGCCTGATCGGGATCTTTGAAAACCACCATCATCATGTTCTTACTCAGTAGTAAAATTGAAAATTGTCTGTGCTGGTCTCAATGTTTTCATGACCCTGGATTGTCTTTGTGAGCCATTTCCCCTTCTCAATTGTTGGGAAGAGGGCGCCTATGTTGGAGAAACCAGGCCATGTTTGGCGTGAAGTGCGTTGGTTGAGGCAATTTTTTCTTTCAGGTAGCACCATACCGTTACTTCTTTCTCTTCCCCATTTTGCTGGATCTTCTTTGTGATTTTCTCTCCTTTGATTTGTTAGGATTCCAGCAGGAATCAGAGTGTCTTGTGGTGGACGAGGGGTCCGTTCGACTGTGTTGGGGTCTTGCCTGCATTTTGTGATTTGGCCGCTACGACCGAGGCAAAGCGGCGTTGGAAGGTCACTGCCGTGGCCATGTCAGCCAGAGGCTGTGACAGCGGGGCGCGGTCAGGACGGGGGGTTGGGGGGAGAAGATGGGGGGGAATAGGGTGCTGTTGGTGGTGTTGACAAATGTCTTTGGTTTGAATTGGAGGGGGGTGGTATGGGGGGTGGAGGGTCTGATCGGGGGCTATGAGGTGGAGGGTCCTGCATTTCGTGGCTGTCCCTTTTTTATTTTTTCCCTTGCCTTGTGAGATTATGATGTCGTGTGTGGCTGTCATATCTTCTGATTCAAATTGGCCCTTTTTCTGGGGCGCGTGTTCATGGGGAATTCAGGGTGGTTACAATTGCTCACAGCTGGTCTACGTGGAAAGTTGGGCGGCATGCATGGGCATACGCTGGTCTGTCCCGTGCGGGGATCGGGTTCGGTTAGTGTTGGGTGGTGGCGGGGTGGGGGGKGGGGGGTCGATGAAGCCGACAGGTGGATATGGGTCGGAGAGGTGCTTATTGCGGTGGCGAGTGGATGGACATCGTGAGAGCAGGAGCGTTAGTAGTGTATTTGTTAGGCGAACGGGGAGAAGGGAGATGAAGCCGGGGTTTGGCGAGAAAACCAGCGCTGCGCTATTTTGCGCTCGCGCCCGGTCACGGCCTACAGGCTGACGCCAACCGAAACCCGTCCTCCTCACCGTCCTCCCGCCCAGCCGCCCCCGCGCCTCGCTTGCCCAGCTTCGAAATTTCGGAGTAGGGCGGCAACGCCTGCCATTGCCAGGAGGGGGTGTAGACGCCATGCTCAAGCGCACGCCCTGCGCGCGTGTCACCACCAAGAGGAGCATAACATCGTCACAGCAGCTCTTCCCCTCCACCGATCTGAAAACGAAAAGAACCTGAATGGTCGGAAGATGAAGAACAGTGCATCATCTGTCAAGAGGGCCTTCGGAGGACATATTAGTATGATATTACGCAGTTTTGCACTGTTTTTCTGCACCCAGGCAAATGAGTTATGGGACAAGGTTTTAGAAATTAGAACCCTTGCTTTGCACTTTAATGACTGGGCTTCCTGTGATTCATCCTGAACTTCAGACCATATGAAGGCTTTGCAGATCGCTGGGCCCCTACAGGAGCTTTGGTGGAGCTTACACAGTGTGGATTGGACTGATGGGTAAGGTATGTTTGCTCTCTGGGTAGTCAATCGGGGGGTGGGGTTTTCTGCTTGATTCCCGACGTTCGGCGCTGGCCTGAGTTCTTGTTTCTTTTCTGGCAACCAGGCGAAGCTGAAGAGGCCTGTCTGTTAGTGTTTCGCTGACAAGAAAGTGTCATCACTATAAGGGACAATGCACCTGGTTTCCAGCAGGTGACGCTCCCCACCAACAGATTTGAGCCTCTGGACGGTGCAGACCTGTTACCTCGGGGTTCCCTCCTGGGAAACAGGCTGGAGCAATGAACATAATTTTTTTTTAAAATAAAGAAATACATAAATGAAAGCTTAGGCGCACAAGAGCACTATCCACTGAAGATATAAAAAAAACTCGAATCGCCCCTCTCTCGCAATTACACAAATGTTCAGCGACGATCGTTTGTTTGTTGCGAAGTCTCAGGCGTTCTCTTGCCAAATTTCTATCGAATCATCGATCATGAATGCCAAGCCTACTTCCTTGGAATCCGAGACAATCTGCTGATCCATTTCCGTTCAAAAAAAAAAGAAAAAAAAGAAAAGTGCCACGCCTAGGTCAGCTAACTGGGCAAGCAAGACCAGCACAGAATGTGTCCTTGGGCACTGATGTCAACAGAAAATAAGGGCTAAGGAAAGCAGTGTCAAGACGAAGATTCCATGACATGAACTTGCGACGTCTTAGCTGGATTTCCCTGCCTTGGCTGATTGTTAAACAACAGGGTAAGAAATCAAGTACAAGCCATTCAGGTGTTTTGGACGATCGACACAAACTTCTTTCCACATGCTGTTGGAACGTGATAGAAAGAAACCACAGAAGCAGCAGCGACAGCAAGAAGGAGACACCAACAACTACGATGACAGCAAACATACCAATGGACCTAGCTCAGTTGGTACACCCATGAACTGTTGAAATACAGGCCCAAGTTCGAATCCAGTCAGATGAAAAAGAGATGATGCAAGCAAACATACCAATGCACCTAGCTCAGTTGGCACACCGATGAACTGCTGAAATACAGACCCAAGTTCGAGTCCAGTTTCAATCAGACGAACAAGAGACGATGACAGCAAACATACCAATGGACCTAGCTCAGTTGGTACAGCGATGAACTGTTGAAATACAGACCCAAGTTCGAATCCAGTTGCAATCAGATGAAAAAGAGACGATGACAGCAAACAAAATGCAGAGAAGAATGACAAGTCGACAGCCATTGCAGGGATACATGCCCTACGAGAGTGGAGTCAAATAAGTCATGACGAAACTGAGTGACGGAAGCACAGGAACATCAGTATGAGTAAATGTGGGATTGGATATACACAAAGGAATGACCAGACTGGGTGACACAGACAGTCCAGCCTAGCACAGCGAAGAAGCAACCGAGTGATAAGGATTAACCACTGGGTTTATGGATGCCTTCGCCTCCTGCCAGAATCTCAGCAGCACACCCATGTCAATGCTGATGCCTAAATGAGTGAACAAAGTGGATGAGGTTCTGTTCATTTGCTGTGCTCCAGTTCTGATCAACCAGCTGCTTCCATTTTGAGACGGTTCTCGGCGATCATTTGTGTGGGTGAGTTGACTATCTGTGAGTTCGCTGAGATCGACATCCAGTACATATCACAAAGAGGAAAAGGATGACCGCCACCAAGTGAGCAAGCATAGCAAAGAAACGAGGAGCAGGGCTCAAGCTCCATTTTCTTGTGTTACAAATACAAAATGGTGAGAGAATGCAGGATATGCCAACTTCCAACTCACCATTCTCTGGAAGCACAATATTCCTCCTTGTTAACGCCACATATAGCATCAGCATTGATGGACACTCTTCAGCAGACACTGTATATGATATATCATCTCCACTATCTGGAAATATACGTTCGGACCTCGGAAACTGTCGAGGGCGACGAGTGATCGCGTGCTCTGTCGGGATCTCCTCGCTGTAGTAGCATAACCAAATCAAAAAGGAAAGAACATACAAAATTGCACTTGTATCAATTGGTAGCCTTTTGTCACACAGGTGGCAACATTTTTTTCTGAACGATGTCAATTACTACTCCGTGTTTTGAACCGTTTTAACACATACTTGCAAGCACACGCCGTGTGGGCGGTTCCCTACGTGCGGCGCACACGCCCAACCGATCCCGTGCGGCGCACGACGTGTGCGCCCCTCAGAAAAAAAAAAAAAAGAAGGCCGGGGTCGAAACGGTGCGTTTGAGGGCCCCTGCCAAAATTATAAGCGAGATGAAAAAACTTTTTACACGAGTACTGCCTCACCTTGCTCCTCCTCCCCTTCCTCATCCTCCATGTCTCCTCCTCCCTTCTCCTTTTCGTCTCCTCCTACTCGTCCTCCTCCTGTTCGTCCTCCTCCTCCTCCTTCCCTTCCTCATCCTCCTTGTCTCCTCCTCCTCCTCCTTGTACTTCCGCATCTTCCATGCCTCCTCGTCTCCTTGCCTTCCTTGTGTCCTCCCCTTCCTTGTCAATGTCTCCTCCTCCTCCCACTCCTCCTCCTCCTGCCCTTCCTCTTTTCCCTCCGTCCATCTCTTCTCCTCCCCCATCTCGACGACTCCTCGTCATCCTCGCTATCCTCGTCGTTCTCGCTATCCTCGCCGTCCTCCTCGTCCACATCCTCCTCCTCCTCTCCATATCCCCCTCTCCTCGCCATATCCCCATCTTCCTGTCATACGGCCCCCCATTCCCCCTCCCCAAAAAACTTGAAAAAAGATAAAATAATAATAATAAAAATAAAAAACCTGCACGATTCCGCACAGGGACCCCCCGCACGGAACTCTGCACGGATGTGCGGCTCGTGCGGTTGCAAGTATGTTTTGAAGTGTTTTTACATTTTTGTCTTTCTTTTGCAATAAGCATGACAATCACGAGAAGCTTCCACAACACTATCATGCAAGCAGTCGCAATGCACTCACAAGGGAACCAATTGCAATGCCGAATAAGTCCGTCGGCAGTCTATGTAGTTCCAGAATAAGCAGCGAGTCACCAGAAAGTGAAACAATTGCAGAGAAGCAATTTGGAGAAAGGGAGGATAGTCTCATTAACAATCAATAATGCAATTGAAATTTGAAACAGCTCTTCCTTCTCCATCCACCTTCAGGACCTTCTCCCACCAACTCGCCCCCTCTGTATGCAAGTCTCCCCATGAAGAGACTGATAAAGTCTCTCTCCAGGTATCAGCAATGGGCCCACAACCTCCAGCGCCTAACTTCCTTCAGCCTCCTGGTATGAACAGCAGCTCCAGTACCACCAGCACCAACAGGTCAGTCAAGGTAAGCTTCCCACTCTCTCTCTCTCTCTCTCTCTCTCTCTCTCTCTCTCTCTCTCTCTCTCTCTC